AAAAAAATTTTTTTTTGAAATGGGGTCTTGCACTGTTGCCCATGCTGGAGTGCAGTGGCGTGATCTCAGCTCAGTGGCGTGATCTCAGCAACCTCCACCTCCTGGGTTCAAGTGATTCTCCTGCCTCAGGATCCTGAGTAGCTGGGATCACAGGCACCTGCTACCGTGCCCAGCTAATTTTGTATTTTTAGTAGAGCTGGGGTTTCACAATGTTAGCCAGGCTGGTCTTGAACTCCCAACCTCAAATGATCCACCTGCCTCGGCCTCCCAAAGTGCTGAGAATACAGATATGAGCCACTGAGCCTGGCCTTACAATGTATTTATTTATTTATTTTTACAACTTTTATAACTATTTTACAAATGTCAAATTGTATTTTTACCAGCGTATGTGTGTGTGTGTGAGAGAGAAATATAGAGAATACTTCTGAAAAGTTTGAAACCCTGGGTGACCTTTACTTACTCAGGAAAGTAAAATCTGGAAAACGCAGAAACATATTAATACTTTCAAGATACTTTGTACAGATCTAAAGTAGTCTATTAGTTTAAGAACACAAAAATATGTCATGCAAAACTGGGTTTGCTTGTAATATATTAAATAAAATTTAATTACATTTAAGTAAATGTAATTTAACTGCAAAATTTAATAATGACCAACTTCATAAATTTATTTAAAGTGTCTTTAGTTTTGATACTTGTAGAACTAAAAGTTTAAAAAATATGAACTCTCATAGTTTTGTGGCTTTATAAGAAGCAGTTTAAAAAGTAAAACTAGAAGAAATACTAAACATTGTAGTTAAACAAAAAATTGTTATGGTTGATTAATTTAGTAACCCCTAAAGTACTTATTAGATTCAACTCATTTTCAAAGAGGGGCCTGGGAGAAAAGGAGGTGATAGTATCAAAACTGTTCTTAACTTTTTAAAGTGGAATTTTATCTAACTTGTCTTATTTTCTCAGCTTTTACTAACATTGACTTCTTCAGGTGCTTCCTCTTCTTACCTGCTTGAATTTCTTTGCTTTTTCTTTCTTTCATTCTTTCAAGACAAAGCCTCCCTCTGTGGTCCAAGCTGGAGTGCAGTGGTGTGATTGTGCCTCACTGCAGCCTTGACCACCCAGGCTCACCTCAGCCTCCCGAGTAATTGGAACCATAGGTGTATGTTACCATGCCCAGCTAATTTATTTACTTTTTTTGAGATGGAGTCTCACTCTGTTGCCCAGGCTGGAGTGCAGTGGTGCAATCTCGGCTCACTGCAACCTCTGCCAAGCGATTCTCCTGCCTCAGCCTCCCGAGTAGCTGGGACTATAGGTGCATGCCACCACACTAGGCTAATTTTTTTTTTTTTTTTTTTTTTTGTATTTTTAGTAGAGACCAGGTTTCACCATGTTAGCCAGGATGGTCGTGATCTCTTGACCTGTCCACCTCGGCCTCTTTAAGGGCTGGGATTACAGGCATGAGCCACCGTGCCCAGTCTAATTTTTGATTTTTTCTAGAGACGAGGTCTCCTTATGTTGCTTAGGCTAGTCTTGAACTCTCAGGCTCAAGTGTTCCTCCCCCCTCTACCTCCCGAAGTGTTGGGATTACAAGTGTGCGCCACTATGTCCAGCTTGTAATTTCTGAAGCTCGGGTTTGCCCTTACTCAAACAGGTTATTTTATATTTATTGTAAAGATGTTCCTTGATTCATTATGGGGTTACATCCTTATAAACCTATTATGAGTTGAAAATACTGTAAATTGAAAATGCATTTTACTTACCTAACCTACATAGCTTAGCCGAGCCTACCTTAAATGTGCTCAGAACACTTACATTAGCCTACAGATGGGAAGAATCACCTAGCACAAAGTCTATTTTGTAATAAAGTGTTGAATACCTCTATTTTATAATAAAGTGTTGTAATTTATTGACTACTGTACTGAAAGTGAAAAACAGAATGACCGTATGTGTATTTGAAGTAGAGTTTCTACTGGATGCATATTGCTTTTGCACAAGTCAAAAAATGGGGCTCAGTGGCTCACACCTGTAATTCCAGCACTTTGGGAGGCCAAGGCAGGCAAATTACGAGGTCAGGAGTTTGAGAACAGCCTGGTCAACATGGTGAAACCTTGTCTCTACTAAAAATAAAATAAAAATTAGCTGGGTGTAGTGGCATGCACCTGTAGTCCCAGCTACTCAGGAGGCGGAGGCAGGAGAAATCGCTTGAACCTGGGAAGCAGAGGTTGCAGTGAGCCGAGATTGTGCCACTGCACTCCAGCCTGGGCAACAGAGTGAGACTCTGTCTCAAAAAAAAAAAAAAAAAAAGCAAAAAACAAAAAATGGTAAGTTGAACCATTAAGTTGGAGACCATCTGTATTTCTAAATATAAACAAATTTCTTTTGCAAAATATAAAAGATGCAGTAGATGGAGAAATATGTTCTCAAGAAGCAAGAGGAAAGTAGAATTCAGGCAGTGTAAAGTTTTGTTGTTGTTTTTTTGAGACAGGGCCTTGCTCTATTACCTAGGCTGAAGTGCAGTGGTGCAATCTCAGCTCACCCCAACCTCCGCCTCCTGGGCTCAAGCAATCCTCCCACCTCAGACTCCTGAGTAGCTGGGGCTACAGATGGGCACCACCACACCCAGCTAATTTTTGTATTTTTGGTAGAGGCTGGTCTCAAATTCCTGGGCTCAAGTGATCCACCCGCCTCGGCCTCCCAAAGTGCTGGGATTAGATGTAAGCCACCATGCCTGACCAGGCAATATGAAGTTCTTATTACCTGTCTTTAAAAAGGCACTCTTGGCACAATCTCAAACCTTACCTTGGATCAAACATTGGAGAAAGACTTAATTTTACAAAGTTTCAAATGACTGAAGAACCTTGCATTTGGAATGAACCCAATCCAGCCTCTCATCTACTGTAGGAACTCCCATTATATGTAGCATTGTCTAGTTTTTGCTTAACTACTTTCAGTGACAAGGAACTCACTTCCTCAAAAGATAGCTTGCATAGTCAGTAACACTAGGAAAGATATACTCAAAATAGAAAGTAAATGTTAGGTGATTGAGAAAAAGCTATTGTTAATGTTACAGGCAAATCTCCCTTCCCAATTTTAGCCCAGCGTTAGTCATGGCTAATTTACCAGCTTTCATTTACTAGCTACATTTGGAATATAGACCCTTTTTCTACACTTGAACTTGCTTATGGGTTTAGGTCTTCTTTATGATCTTCCAACTTTTTTCCTTCTTTAAACTGACACTCAAAATATCTCAAGGTATAACTGATAACTCCTTGAGCCCCTTAGGGTGTTCTGTATTCTAACATAATTCTGTTCTTCCAATCAAAAAGGATGTGTATCTTTTTCTTTTCATAAAAAATATTTCTCTTCAATTCCGATGTTTTGTTTTATAACTAAATTTATATAATAAATACTTAGAGTATTTTAATTGTTTCATCATAATCTTTATGAGTACTTAATATATTAATAATCTTAATAATTATATATGTTTAGGAGCTTCCTAGTAAAGACTGGAAAATCTGCTAGACAAAATTCTAAGAGTGGTAACACTAATTTTTCTTTATCATAATACATTTATCACCCTTAATACATTCATTACCTACCTTTTACTGTGGGAGATGGGTACTTTTGTTAAAGGATTCAGCTTAAGTTTTGATTTACTTTCTGAAACTGCCATGTGGCCAGTGACTCGGTCTGGAATTCAGAATATACAATTAAGAAATCAGTTTACAGATTAATTTTTTACGTTCTTTTGCAACTTTTCAGCTCAAAGCCTGGAGTTTGAAAAGTCCAGGACCTCAAGGAATGGTAATACATGCAAAATCAAGTTAGAGGTATGCATAAAGTTGGAAGGCAATGTGGAAAGGCTCCTTTGTTGTTCCCAGATTTCTTTCTTTTTTTTTTTTTTTTTGAGACGGAGTTTCACTTTTGTTACCCAGGCTGGAGTGCAATGGCGTGATCTCAGCTCACCGCAACCTCCGCCTCCTGGGTTCAAGCAATTCTCCTGCCTCAGCCTCCTGAGTAGCTGGGATTACAGGCATGTGCCACCATGCCCAGCTAATTTTTTGTATTTTTAGTAGAGACAGGGTTTCACCATGTTGACCAGGATGGTCTCGATCTCTTGACCTCATGATCTACCCACCTCGGCCTCCCAAAGTGCTGGGATTACAGGCTTGAGCCACTGCGCCCGGCCTGTTCCCAGATTTCTAAGCAAAGTTGCTTGTCACTGTTTCCCTTTCAATTAGTGTCACTTTGATCCTATGTAAAAATAAATGTTAAGCGAAATAAACTGGACACAAAAAGACCAATGCTATATGATCTAACTAATACATATAATCTAAAATAGTCAAACTCATAGAAGCAGAGAGTAGATGGTGGTTGAGGAAGGAGATATGGGGAGATGTTGGTCAGTGATACAAAGTTTGAAGACGGCTTCTGAAGATCTAACAAATAGCATCGTGACCATAGGCAACAATACCATACTGTACACCTGAAATTTGCTAAGAGACTAGATCCTAAGTGTTCTCGCTGTACACACACACACACACACACACACACACACACACACAGTAACTATGTGAAGTGATGGATGTGTTAATTAGATTGGTTGTGGTGATTATTTCACAATGTATACATCTGTTAAATATATATACATTAAATAATAAAAATGGTGCCATGTGACACAGATAATGAGCATTCTGGAAATATATGGGAAAAGTTATTTAAAGACACTATTTTATTATGAAATCAGTAGAACATTTCAAGTCATAATTGACAAAGAATAAAATAGTACAGCATTTCTAAAGTATTTGCCTACTCGTTTACATCTTAGATGCCTGCCTGGTAATAAGAAGGTTTTCCCAGGGCTTGTTTTTGGGAGACCTATCCCTGCCCTGTCAATTCTTGGGAACCAACTGTTTTTTTTTTGTTTGTTGTTGTTTTTAGATGTGTAAAAAGCCTTTATTTGGAGGGGAGCAGGAATTTAAACAAAGAGGTCAAATCCCGTGTCATCATCTGACTCTTTGGACACTCCTCCTCATCTTCTCCTCTGCCACAGCGGGGGTGGAACCAGCAGTAGGAGCTGCAGAGCCTGGGGCAGCAGAGACAGCCACAGCCCCACCGGCAGGTACACTGGCAAGCTTGCCAATTCCCTGGGCAATGACGTCTTCGATGCTTTTTCCATTCAGCCCACTGATAACCACGTTGAGCTGGTCGTCGTCCGCCTTGATGCCTAAGCTGTCCAGGATCCTATTGTCCTTGGCGCTGGGGGAGGGGTTGCCTCCGAGGGCAGCCAGCAGGTGGGAGGCGACGCAGCACATCTGGGAGGCAGCAGCGGTGGCTGCAAGGCCTCCACGCGTGCGACCTCGGCGGAGTCAGGGAGGAAGAGCCCAACTGGTCTTGGTTAACAGTCGGAATGGGGGTGGGATACAATGCAGTTCTGCTACCCTAGACTCCGGAATGAACTCGTTAACCACCGCCGCCTCCCTAGTCCTCGATTTCCACTCGGCATAGTCTGATAAACAGGGTTTATTGGCCGGGCGCGGTGACTCAAGCCTGTAATCCCAGCATTTTGGGAGGCCGAGGCGGGTGGATCACGAGGTCAAGAGATCGAGACCATCCTGGTCAACATGGTGAAACCCCGTCTCTACTAAAAATACTAAAAATTAGCTGGGCATGGTGGCGCGTGCCTGTAATCCCAGCTACTTGGGAGGCTGAGGCAGGAGAATTGCCTGAACCAAGGAGACGGAGGTTGCGGTGAGCCGAGATCGCGCCATTGCACTCCAGCCTGGGCAACAAGAGTGAAACTCCGTCTCAAAAAAACAAACAAACAAAAAAACAGGGCTTATTTATGGACCAGAAGCTGGGTTGGTAGGGCTTCCCGCTTTGTTGCTCTTTTCTTTCCAACTATCTTTTCAAAACGTGGAGTGTATTTGACAGTTCACTGACAAGAAAACTAGGTTGCTGACTTAGGAATAATGGACAATAGAATACTATTCAATCATGAGGAAAAAAAGTCTCTGAATGTTTGGTTAGAATTTGATCCATTTTCCCAGGTCTTCACCTCAGAGCTCAGAAAGCATTTCTTTCTAAACAACTCAATTACAAGTCCTCAAAATCTGAAAACCTACCACAGAGCTGGCAACTCCAGAGAGGGTCAACAATTCAGGCACTTGAAAGATGCTGTGAAATCATCCCATGCCTCAAAATAATCATTACTTTAAAAAAATACCTTCATTTCTCATAGATTATAGATTTTTTAAAAAAAGACTTGGCATAGAATCCTATAAAATCCTGATATTTACCTACTTTTAAGCCATGCTACTTACCACTTCTGGGCTTCAATCAGATCAGGAATCCAATAAAGGGTTTGTTCCATCACACAACTGTGACCTCATTCACTGCTCAGGCTCAGGCCCAGGGAGAGAATGACCCAAGAGCTATTTCCAACCTGACAGCAAGCATGTTTTCAATGTGGTTCTTTCAGCACCCTTGGTGTATATGAGGGTGTGATTTATAAAATCTGAACATTTTGACACTGTTGGGACTTCAGGGAAGGGGAATAATTTTTGTTTCAATTTCTATATTAATATATTTTCATGTTAATGTCTTCATCAGGCCGGGAGTGGTGGTTCAAGCTTGTAATCCTAGCACTTTGGGAGGCTGAGACAGGCAGATCACCTGAAGTCAAGAGTTCAAGACCAGCCTGACCAACATGATGAAACCCTGTCTCTACTAAAAATACAAAAATTAGCTGCGCATGTTGGCGCACACCTGTAATCCCAGCTACTCGGGGGGCTGAGGCAGGAGAATCGTTTGAACTCAGAAGGCAGATGTTGAAGTGAGCTGAGATTGCACCACTGCACTCCAGCCTGAGTGACAGACTCCGTCTCAAAAAAAAAAAAAAAAAAAAAAGTCTTCATCAGTCAATTGAAAGCTGTTCAATTAAAACATTTTACTCAGCTGCTTTCACTGCATGGTGATTAAGCAACATGGTGAAACCCCGTCTCTACTAAAGATACAAAAAAATTAGCTGGGCATGGTGGCACGTGCCTGTAATCCCAGCTACTCAGGAGGCTGAGGCAGGAGAATTGCTTGAACCCAGGAGGCGGAGGTTGTGGTGAGCCGAGATCGCGCCATTGCACTCCAGCCTGGGTAACAAGAGCGAAACTCCGTCTCAAAAAAAAAAAAAAAAAAAAAAAAAAAGAATCATTTCATTAATTGTTTAAGCCTAGAAAGAGAGGCAAAAAACTCTCATAGGCTTGTAGTCTTTGGTATTATTGGGAAAAGTGATTTCAAAAGAGCAATTACAGAAAAGAGTGTTTTAAGTAGAAACTAAGGTATTTATAATCTGATGTGTCTCATGGCATTGTAAATTCTCTAGTACAGGAGTTAGGAGTGTCTTTAGTCTATCATGGCTAAGCACAGATATCTCTGGCACCCAAGGCTTAGCTAGTTACGTAGTTGGACCTGTAAAAATGCTTCAGTTTTCACTTAGTGGCAGCAATTCTAGAGGTTTCCTATTCCCCCAGAATGAGAATAGGAAACCTCTAGAATTGTTCATTATGAGCATAATTTGACTTTAGCCTAGTATTTTTAAACTTAGTATACTGCCTTCCATTCTGGCCAGGAACACACAGGGAAAGAAAGGTAAGGCTTAATTTATAAATTAATTCAACAATTATTTATCAAGAGCCTACTATATGAAAAGCTACCTCAATTTTTTTTTTTTTTTTTTTTTTTTTAGGTGAGGTTCACTCACTATGTTGCCCAGGGTTGAATGCAGTAGCAGGATCATGGTTCATTGTAGCCTCAACCTCCCGGGCTCAAGTGATTCTTCCACCTCAGCCTCCCCATTAGCTGGGACTACAAGGTGCAGGCTACCATGCCCAACTAATTTTTTGTATTTTTGGTAGAGATGGGGTTTCACTATGTTGCCCAGGCTGGCCTCGAAATCCTGGCTCCCACCAATCTCCTTGGCCTCCCAAAGTGCTGGGATTCCAGGCAGGAACTACTGTGCCCAGCCCTATTGTGTTACAGCATTCTTTATATCTTTTGGAGACTAGATCCTTATCAATTATATTATTTACAAATATTTCTTCCTATTCTGTGGGTTGTCTTTTTACTTTATTGATAGTGTCCTTTCAACCACAGAAGTTAGACCTGAAATTTTAAATGTTCTTTTGTTGGTCCTGGAATTTTAAAGCTGAAAGATAATAGATCATCAACCGAATTCAGCCTACTACATTTTTTGAGAGGCAAGTTCTTGCTCTGTCGCTCAAGCTGAAGTGCGGTGGTGCAGTGATGGCTCATGCAGCCTCCAATTCCTGGGCTCAAGCAATCCTCCCACTCAGCTTCCCGAGTAGCTAGGACTATAGTAGGCAAGTACCACCACCTCTGATTAATTTTAAAAATTTTTGTAGAGAGGGGGTCTCGCTGAGTTGCCAGGCTGGACTCACACTCCTGGCTTCAAGTGATCTTCCTGCCTTGATCTTCCTAGGCCTCCCAAGGCTCTAGGATTACAGGTGTGAGTCAGTGCTCCAGGTCTTCACCCATTTTATTTTACTGCTAAGGACCCTAAAGTCCAATTAGCTGAATTAATTTCTTTAATGGCAGAGTCAGAAACACCTGCTTTGTAAATGACACTGTGATACCAGGTAGGTTACAGTGTTCTTAGAGGTTAAAAAAAATCACAAATGGAGCATTAGAAAAGAATATAAATATGTGAGAATCACATGTGATTCAGTGGTGTGCACCTTAAGGCACAGGAACTTAGAAAGACAGTTGGAGAGATAATGGTGTTCAATCACCTTATGGACAAGTAGATGGAGGATAGAAACTGACAAGACAATTAGGGAAAGTAACTATGGGATTAAAAAACGTAAATCAAAGTATTAAGCCCCATCTTTACAATGGCGTCACATCAGGTTTCACACTCACCTTTAATGTCGTTTGCAGTTTTCAACTTAGGTAGCGTCGCCATTCCTTTTGCTTAAAGACAAGATTAAGAATCAAAATTACATAAATTTCTGATGTTATGGAAAGTAGAATAGGAGGGCATAATTTGTCTTATTTTTTTCCCCAAGTGAGTGAAAAAATTAAGAAAATGTCAAAGATATATGGGATATCCATCTTCATTCATATTGTTTCTTTTAGTGCCTTAATGTATTGCACTCCAAAAGCAAAAACTGAAAAGCACTATAGTGTCAGCATTGAAATCAAGACTATTCATTTATCATCTTTTAGGATGTAAAGAAGTGAAATGACTTTGAAAATCTGTTGATTCAGGAGGAAGATGATCTCTTACCCATTTCTTTTTTTTTTTTTTTTTTTTTGAGAAAGGGTCTTACTCTGTTGCCCAGGCTGGAGTGCAGTTGGTGTGATCTCAGCTCACTGCAACCTCTGCCTCCTGGGTTTGGGCAATTCTTCTGCCTCAGCGTCCTGAGTAGCTGGGACTACAGGTGTGTGCCACCACGCCTGGCTAATTTTTTTGTATTTTTAGTAGAGATGGGGTTTCACCATGTTGGCCAGGCTGGTCTTGAATTCCTGACCTCATGATCCACCCACCTTGGCCTCCCAAAGTGCTGGGATTACAGGCATGAGCCACTGTGCCCAGCCTCTCTTATCCATTTCATTTTCATTAATTATTTCTTTAGGAAGGTATTGACTAATTAGTTACCTGTTAATGATATAGATATTTCTTTCTAGTGAATTATCCTATGAAATATGTGGGTATAATATATATCATAATTAACTTACTGCAAAATCTTCCTTTACCCCACCCCTTTCCATGGCCAGAACAACAAGCAAACAAAACCTTAATAGTACAGATTTAACTCTTTTTCTTTTCTTTCCTCTCAAAATGTGGGGTAGTTTTGTTTTCTAATCATGAGAAGATTAATTCTCAGAAGAAAAGTGTGGATATAATAACTCAGTTTCCTATACTGGATTTGGTTTGGCCTGGCCAGATAAACCAATAATGTATTATTTTAATACCAAAAAAGGCCCGTGGCAGATTATGAAAACATAGAGACATGGAAAATGTTTGGTGATACCTTTAGGTTATAGAGGCTATATAAGGTAATATGCAATGCAGAAAGCAGTATATATAAAGAAGAAATATTTTTCCTATGGGGAAAGGATTAACTCCAATATAAAACACATTATGTTTTCTTAATTAATAAAAATAAAAATTAATTTTCTTAATTCTGTAGAATTAAGAAAAATCTATACCTGTGAAGCACCTTTTCTTTCTCTGCCTCTGATCGGTCACTGTCTCTCTCCCTATTGCTTGGCTCTTCTCCCTTCCTGGATATTAATT